GTCCTTAGTCAAATTCCAGTCTACTACTATTACTCCTTAGTTTGGAATGTCGATTAAAATGGTGTTTTATCTAACAACTACTCTTAAATGCGAATGTTAAGTGTAAGGATAGTAACTATTCCTAAATATAAAATATTAATTCTAAAGATATCCCTTTCTGGATGAGTTGGTTTGGAGAATTTTAAGATGTTAAAAACTATTCCTAAATATAAATATTAATTCTAAAGATATCACTTCAAGTAATTTTAATTCTCTACCCCAATTCAGTGTTATAGAAAATCATTGGCTGATCTCAGGTTTAGTCCCTAAATCCGTGGTTAGGTTGGGAGGATACTGGCTCTCACTCCAGAGCTCCCACTTCCCTTCCCTTGAAGTCAAACGCTCACTTTAGCTCTTAAACTCTAAGACCAAATTGGATATTTTAGTCTGTCACCCTAAAATCTCCAATTATTATATATATATATATATATATTTCTCTATTTATTTGCACTCAACCCCCATGAACTTCACCATCCATGAAATTTGAATGTGGTTCCACTTTGTTAAGAGTTACACCACCCTCTCAGGTCTTAATGCATTTACAATGAATTTTAACACTACAACGGGCCCTTATTATAATGTAAATGAAGTGCAAGTAAAAACCATCAAATTTATAATTAAAACTTCTTATAGCATGCATCCCAATATCCTAAACATGAATCCTACTCATTGCAAAAGAAGTAAAAGGAACATAATGACATAATCTTCTCATGCCACTGTTTCCAAAAAAGAAGAAAGAGTAAGAGAGACACATCACAAAGCACGAAAAAAAACACAACGAAAAATTTCATTAAATCAAAACAAATCCACTAGATAAATGTTTACAAAATCATAAGATAATAAATAACTCAATATTTAGTTTTTCCCCTTGAAAAAAAAATGAAAATCTCTCCAACAAATTCTTCTGCTGATCCATGCAATGTTAGAACATTCCCTTATAGATTCTCTCAAAATCCCCTTACCAATCTCTTCAAAAAGGTAAAAATCTACATTTCTACTCATATTCTAAGATCTTTAAACATTCTCCTCATTTTTCCACTCACACACACCATTTTGTTTTGACATAAAAACACTCTATTATAGTGTAGGGACAAATTTCCCAAGAGATGCCTCAAGCAATCTTCCAAAAGCATCCAAATACATTGAATCTTATAGAAATTCGCCTAGCAGCGCGTCCAAACAGTCTCAAGCGCTGTCGACGCCATTTTGGGTGCCGTCGGCACCATTTTCACATCACTTTTTGCACTCTAGCGTTGTTGGCACCAGTTTTGGCACCGTCGACGCCGGTTCTGGCGCCGTCGGCGCCCACCTTGCACAGCTCCACCATTTTGCTTTGTTTGGCTCCATTTTAGTTTTATTTCACCCCATTTCAGTTGAGTTCCTAACAGATAGACCTACAAAATAAGCATAAAAACAACCTTCCTTTAAAGTGTAATAATTTCATTCAAAAGTGTGTGAGAAGTGTAAAAGATATTAAGCATAGAAAAACATATCAAAATGTGCCAGGACAAAATTTTCTTTCTTGCTTATTTTTGCTCCAAATTACACCATTTTTGCTACTTTTTCTCTAAAACTCCATTTCTTATCCCTGAAACCAAAAATATGCAAAATACATTCTTTTAAAGTATAATATCATTAAAAATTATTAAAATTGAGCATAAAATATATATGAAAAAGTAGTCATTTTTTAGGCGTATCACTAGCCCTCCTCCCATTCCACGAAACATTTTCGCTTTCCGCCTTTGACTAGCGAAACAACATCGTTCCCCGCTCTTTAAGTTGCGAACATGACCCTCCTCTGTAACTGCTTCTGTGATCAACTGCTACAGGAGGCTTGCGGCCGAAACCTCAGAGAGAGACGAAGAGAAGTGCAGTAGTTCCTTGCGGCAAAAGAAAGAAGAAAAAAATTATTCTCCCTTGGCTTCTTCTTGGTGGCTTGTGGCAGAAGAGAAATTGGGTTTATTTCTCTAATAAGTTTATCTTCTTCAGTGTATCTTGGTGTAGCGAGAGAAGAAGAGAGAGAAAGAAAGTAAGAGATCCTTCTTGTAAGTCGAGATGATCGACTGGTGTAAATTCCTCAAGTAGTAAAATCCTCTGCAACTCCATGGACGTAGAAAATTTGTCAAATCATGTAAATCTGTGTGTTCCGCTGTGTTACTATTTTATGGTGTGAATTTTCTCGTTCTATTTTCACTTTCTTTGTTGATCGTTCTTCTATTTTATTTATACTACCACAACAACTGATATCAGAGCTTTATTTCGGATCTGAGAAAGAATGATGGTTGCAGATGAAGTAAAGGTTTCAAGAATCAAGAAATTTGATTGCACAGATTTTGGTTATTGGAGAATGCAGATAGAGGAATATCTCTATTGGAAAAAACTTCATCTTCTGTTATTGGGGAAAATAACTAAAAGGATGGATGAGGTTGAATGAAATTTATTGGATCAACAAGTTATGGGGGTTATTCAATTGACCCTATCGAGATCCGTTGCATCCAACGTCGTCAAAGAAAAGACGACTGCAGATCTCATGACAGTCTTATCAAGCATGCATGAAAAGTCATTGATGAATAACAAAGTATACTTGATAAAGAAGTTATTTAGTTTGAATATGATGGAAAATGTTTATGTTGCTCAACACCTGAATGATTTTAATACTATCACAAATCAATTATTGTCTATTGAAATTCATTTTGATGATGAGATTCGTGCTGTGATATTATTGACATCGTTGTCAAATAGTTGGGAAGCCATGAGGATGACATTTGGCAGTTTGCAGGTAAATCTAAACTGAAATATGATGATATTCGTGATTTGATTTTGGCTGAGAAGGTGCACAAGAAAGATTCTGGCGAGATCTCAGATATAAGTTTGACACTGAATGTTGATTTTAGAGGGAGATCACAAGACTGGAACTCAAATAAAGGGAGATCAAAATCAAAGTCTGGTCAGCAAACAACCTGCTGTAATTGTGGCAAGGCTGGCCAGATAAAGAGGAATTGCATAAATCTCAAGAAGATGGAGAATAATAGCACAAATGTGGTATCTGAAGAAGTATAAGATGCACTAATGCTAACGGTTCATAGTTTTGTTGATAACTGCATATTGGATTAAGGGGCTTCTTTCCTTATAACGTTTCATCAGGAATTGATGTGAAATTATGTTGCAGGTGACTTTGGGAAAATATATCCGACAGATGGAGAAGCTTTGAATGTGGTAGGAATTGATCTATCAGAGGTCACAGTGAAAGGCAGTGATGAAAGTGAAGAGGAGAGTGGGTTCGGGGCACCCATTCCTATTGTTCCACAGATAGATGGTAGAGAACCACAAAGCTATGAAGAAATAGCTATGAAGAAATCTTACAAGATAAAAATTCAAGCAAGTGGGAGCTGACAGAACTTCCACTAAGCAAGAAGACATTACACAATAAGTGGGTGTACCGGGTGAAGATTGAACATGATAACAGTAAGAGGTACAAGGCTGTACGTGTTGAAAAAGGCTTTCAGCAGAGGCATGATATTGCCCATGCAATGGGAGTTGCAAGCAAAGAAAAGAGTAACCTAGGAAATAACTTGGAGGTGCAAGGCTTTGTGGACCCTGCTGATATGTTGACTAAGGATGTTACTCTTAAGAAATTGAAGTTGTGCAAATTGAAGTTGTGCGCAGCTTAGCGCAGCTTAAGTTGGTCTTCTGGTGTGAAGACAGGGGCTTTGAGTTGCTGAGCTGGAGGATTCATTTTTGAAGAAAAGGGCGAAACCGCCAGTGGAGAATATCAGCTTGAGGAAGAAGACGTTGTATTCTGTGTACCGGTCTCCAAGTGGGAGATTTGTTGGAGGTGGAGCACAGTTAAGCCGAAAAATAAAAAACTGCTCCCGCCAAGTGCTTTCCTGCCTAACCCTCCTCCCGTTTCGCGAAATGTAACCGCTCTCTGCCTTTGATTTGCGAAACAACGTCGTTCCCCGCTCTTTAAGTCGTGAACAGGACCCTCCTCTATAACTGCTTCTACGATCGACTGCTACAGGAGGCTTGTGGCCGAAACCTCAGAGAGAGAGATAGAGAGGAAGAGAAGTGCAGTAGTTCCTTGCGGCAGAAGAAAGAAGGAGAAAATTGTTTTCCCTTGGCTTCTTCTTGGTGGCTTGTGGCAGAAGAGAAATTGAGTTTATTTCTCTTGTAAATTTATTTTCTTCGTTGTATATAAGTGTAGAGAGGGAAAAAGAGAGAGCAAGGAAGTGACAAATCCCTCTTGTAAGCCGAGACGATCGACTGGTGTAAATTTATCAAGTAGTAAAATCTTCTGAAACTCCGTGGACATAGACAATTTTGTCGAACCACGTAAATCTGTGTGTTTCGTTGTATTACTGTTTTCTGATGTGAATTTTCTCGTTCTATTTTTCGCTTTCTTCATCGATCGTTCTTCTATTTTATATTTATACTATCACAACACTGTGAATGGCTGTTGGCGGGGGCAGTGGAGGCCGTGGAGAGGGGACAGGCAGACACACGACGACGGTCAACTGGCGGCTAAGGAGGGAGGTTGCGGGCGGTGGTAAATGGTGACATACGACAGACTAGATGAATAATTGTTTTGGTGTTTAAGAACAGAGAAAAATTGATGTTTATTTTCTTTTTTATTTTCAAAAAAAAAAAAACAAAAAAAATCCCAAGCAGCCCAAACCTACCGTTTAACCTAAAAACTTCAATCAAATAATAGCTAATAAAAGCCAAATCCAACGACAAACCCAAAAATTATTGCATCCGCCCATAGCATGCAGAGATGCATAGGATGAGTCAATAAAAACTCCACTTTTTATGAAACATGTTAGTGGCCGTCTTTTTAAATTTTTTTTAAAAAAAAAAACATGTTAGTGGCCGTCTTTTTAAATTTTTTTTTAAAAAAAGAATAATTTCATTTGCCCTGCACGCTATAAGAGCTCTAATTTTACACCAAGGTTTCCGAACAAGGTAGCCTGTCCGTCACTATGGCATTCACTCTTAACCATCCCCTCTCCGCCGATTATTCACATTGGCTCCGTGGAGCCGTTACCAGCAATGCTTCCCTCTGTCCACGTCGTTCCTTCCTCCTTACTTCGCTTCGCATATCTAGTCGGCGATCACCACTTTTCATTGGTAGAGCAAAGGCAAGAGGGGCCGATGCTGACCAACAATCGAAGAAATCCAAGGATTCGGTTCAAAGCACCATCGAAGAAGAAGAGGAGGTCGAGGAGGAGCTCCCATGGTTCCAGGAAAAAGCCTTGGACCTTGTTGAGTTCACCGGGACGGTGACCCAAGCCCTTCCCGGGCCGAGGGTTGGCCAGAGCACGCTACCGTGGATCCTCGCCGTTCCATTGGCGTACTTCGGGTTGTCGTTTGTTGTTGCCTTCTTCAAAACTGTGAAAAAGTTCACTTCTCCTCGTGCAAAGCGGAAGAAGCTGGTATTTATTTGAAGTTTTAGAGGAAATGCTCTGTTGAAAGGTATTTGTCGGCTGTTTATCCTTCTTTGGTTACCTAATTATAACTTCTATTGCTTTGTAGGTGAATAAGAATGCTTTTCTTCTGAAATCAATAGACGAACTATTTGAGAAGGGTAGGGAACAAGTGAACCATTCGGCTCTTAAGGGGCTTATGCAGAAGGTAATTTTTAGGGGACGTGTTTTATACTTTTGTCTTGAATATTCTATGCAAAATTGTATGCTCTGCCATATAAGTAACTATCGCTTTGTTTTGATGTTGGAAAACATGGAAGAAAATTCAAATAGTGGAAAATGCATGTAATTTGCGAAAAACTCTGGGAAAATTGGCATATTTTTGTGTTTTAGTCCCATGGAATCATAAAATTTACTTCTTATACCCGCACTTTGGGACCAACCAACCATGGCGTTAAAAAAACATTATGTGACCTGTTGGATGTCAGGTGATCCAAGTGTATAGTCTACCAAGCATTGCCTTGAACTCCACTTGAGACTATTAGGTGATCAATAGAGAATAATGCCTTTATTTTTGGATTGAATTTCAATAAACCCATCAAAACCCTTTGGCGTTGAGGGTGAACCATACTGAATAGAGTAGAATTTCAATGAAAATGGGCAAGAAAGTGTTTCGTGAATTCCAACACATTGTTTCCAGTTCTCCACTCCATTTCTAGCTGCTTGTACTTGAGGTTTGGACATTCTTTCAGGTGAAGACTCATTGATTGAAGCTATAAAGTTGGACATATGGAATGTGGAGCACCACTAGAATGGCAAAATTTTAGTTGTACCAAATCATCAATCTCATAGCAATCATGTAGTCTCCCTCCTTACTCCAAGCCATTCTATCAAGTATTGCTAAGAATAAGGTATGGGTTGAATGAATTTCTACAAAACATTTTCTTAGTGATGTCTATTGGATACCCTTTGATTGGCAGATTATTAAATGACTAGGTTTGATGACTCATTCTTGAGCGTTGAGATCTTATAAGATTTCAATCTTCATTATGTGACTCATTTTTGGATAGTTTCAGGAAATTTTCAAGATTGACTATTTCTTACTTGGACTTGATTTAGACCAATTCAACATTCCTCAATTTTATGTAGTTGATTCAGGTTCAGGTTTTCTCGTGACTTGATTCACATGAACCTGACAAACATTAATTTACAATAGTCCCTTGATTCCTTTTTCTTTTAATGAAATTAATTCTTTGAATGGCCCAAATTTTCTCGGGTTCCTGATGATTCATGTCGCATGGAACTCAATCAAGATTATTGACTTTTTGGACTTCCAAATCATGAAATAGGTTCTCTTCAACCTGTTAATCTTTAAATTTATATGTTAGGACTTGTTTATTTCAAGGTTTAATCATTTATGTTCCTATACTTTGCTTGATGGAAGATTGTAAGGATTTCTCTCACATATTCATGATTAATAATATGAAGAGGAAGTTCTAGGAAGAAGATCCCAAGTAAAAATCCCCTTTATGTTCATGAATTTGTGATTCCTTGGTTTGTGAGTTATTATAAATAAATTGATGGTAGAGCTTTCTAACATGAATCCTTTGGATTTCGAGATCAATACTCGAGAGAAATGTCCATATTTGATGCTTTTTAGATGGAAGATCTTGATCAGTTTGGGTATTCATTAAATGCACTCAAACCCAATTCTTCCCAACTCCAATTTTTGTTGTGGTTAAGGATGGATTTCAGACTCTAGTAATATCTCTTTGGTCTTTGTTGGAGGATTTTTTTCTTGAACAAGCTTTGAATAGTCAATAAGTGAGGAGTCTCATTTTTTAAGCATAAATATTCTACAATTCGCTAAGGAGCCAAGTTTTAAATTTTTGTTGGTAACTTTCTCTAATATGTCTTTTTTTTTAGTTTCGACTGTAGGGTTGCTAAGCTTGGCAACATGCTTCCTCCCTTAAAAGCGCATGATTCATCCTCTTATTTTGCTATGGACATGAAAAAATGCTTATGGTGATTTACTTGTTGGAGGATTAGGCTATGAGTATAATGCCTCAGTTAATTATATTCTCCTATAGATTCTTATCAAAGAAACTACAAATGGGATTCATACCATTTATTTTGAAATCGTTCACTCGGTTGAACAATGCTGTGTTAACAAGGGAAGAGTCACTAGACTTGAATTTTCCAATCTGATTGGCCAAGATTGACCAAGTCAACTGGAGGCAAGAGATTCCTTCCCTATTGCCAGTCACTTAAGTGAACTCACGAAGCTTGATAGGTTGTGTATCCTTTAGGAATCATTTGGTCAAGTAATTTTCATAGTTATTTTTAAGAGTTAGTTGTGAATACATTTAGGCTTAATTAGTTTGCAGTCGACTTGGGCCTTGAAGTTTCTAAATAGATTAACTAAGTTTGGCTAATTCAATTGGATGAGAGATTCCTTTCCCATGACAATTCATTTAATTGAACTCAAGGAGCATGAGGGTTTGAAATTCCTTTATGAATCATTCTGGTAAGTGTCAAAATCATTCTTATGGAGTTAACTATTAATTTACCTAGGTTTACTCAATTTGCGGTTGGATTGGAGTATGAATTTCAATAGCTAATATAGAGGAGCAATATTCCTTGTCATATTATTTTTACCACTGATTTTATTATTGTTTGGATTCGGTAGATGTTGCTCTGATGAAGTTAAGTTTGCTAAACGTCATTCTTCAAATCATGAGGATCAAATTTCACCTTTTCCATCTAACTAAAGATGAACTTCTGCATTCTCATTTGAGTGAAGTTTTTTCTCAAAGGATTATAAAATAATAGTTAGTGTAGGTTTTGAGAATAGAGCGGAATGTTTTATTGATATGAAAGGGGGGTATAAATACAACTTATATAAAACTTAAAATAGGAAAGACATAACACCTATTTCTTCAAGATTACAATTAATCAATTCCTAATAACTACTCGAAGAAAAAAGGAAAGACATAAAATACAAAATACTTATTATAGGAAATAAATCAATTCCTAATAACTTCTAACACTCCCCTTCAAGTTGAAGCGTAGATGCCAATTATGTTCAACTTGAATTTGAAATCGTCAAACAACGAGCAAGGGAGATTCTTTTGTGAGAGTATTGGCCAGTTGGCCAATGGATGAGATAAATGGAACACAAATCTTCCCAAAATCGAATTTCTCCTTGATAAAGTGACGATCAATCTCTACATGTTTGGTACGTTTATGTTGGACTGAATTATGAGCAACGCTAATGGTGGCTTTATTGTCACAAAAAAGCTGCAGAGGAACGCTGACTGACATACATAACTCACACAACATGATGTGCAACTAGAGGGTTTAACACACCTCTAAGGATATAGAACGAAACTCTGCTTCAGTATTACTACGGGCAACCATAGACTGTTTTTTTACTTTTCAAGTAACAAGGTTCTCCCATACGACAAAGCAATAACCCAAAGTAGGTCGTTAGTCATGGATAAACCTAACCCAATGGGCATCTGTATAAACTGCAGTCGAACGAGAGATGTGGTGAATGAACAAACTTGAGCCCGATGTACTTTTTAAGTAGTGAAGAATCTGATGGATAATGGTGCGATGGTGCTTGTAGGGGTTATGTATAAACTGACTTACAACACCAACAACGTGACAACTGTTCGGGCACTTATGGGCGAGGTAAATAAGCCTGCCCGCTGGGCTTTAGTAGAGTGTTTTGTTCACCGGAACAACATTGGGAACTTCTAACAATGTCTCATTGGGGTCCATCGGGACAACTATCAGTTTGCAAAGAAGTAGATTAGTCTGGGTCAAAATATCCATCACGTATTTACACTGGCAAAGGCAAACACCCCAAGAGGATCAAGCTACTTTCATGCCTAAGAAATATCAAAGGAAATCCTAGCCTTTATCTCGAAAGACACGACGGGGATACCTTTGAGAGACTTTAAAGCCTACAGATCGTTACCTGTGAGCTTGATGTTGTTGACATAGACGATGAGCACAACAATACGGTCACCTGATGAATGGAAAAAAAATAAAAGTATGATCAGATTGGGCTTGAGAGAAATCATTACCTACAACAACTTGAATAAACTTGCCAAACCTGACCCATGGGTATATTTTCAGTCCATAAAGAGACTGCCGCAATCTACAAATAAAGCTTGTTAGTGAGATCGCCATTAATGAAAATATTTTTAACGTCCAACTGAAGTAAGGGCCAATCCCGATTCACGATCAGGGATAACAGGACCCCAATGGTATTTAGTTTAGTCTCCAGAGCAAATGCCTCTTCATAGTAAACCCCATAAATTTTTGAATACCTTTTGGCGACCAACCGCGTCTTGTTGCATTCTAAGGAGTCATCAAAGCTAAATTTGGTTTTGAAAATCCATCGACAATCCACCCCTCTTTCCTCGGGGAAGATCAACCACATCCATGGTTGTGCCGAAGGGCATTTATCTTGTCCATGATAACAACCTTTTAGGACTGGTCAGCCAAAGAAGCCTCTATAGTGGATGGGCTACAAAGACCCCTCAAGGATGTGGCAAATGCTTTGTGAGACTGAGATAGGCTGTCAAACGAGACTTTTTGCCTTGGGATTCAAGGGTTGAAGTGTGCATGACTGTATCTATTTGCATTACCTGAATAAAGAGATTCAAATCTTCACTCCGGTCAGGAGTGAACCCCGTAAGTGGTGAGAGCATCGTTCTAAGGAAGTCTGTCGGAGCGGACTATAAGACTTACAACAGGGTAGTGGGTTTGACGGTAGAGGTATTAAGATGAGTGTCACCAGAGTGTTTTGTACGATGAGTATAAACATGAAGAGGTGGTGGTGTTCGCTCGGTTGGTGGCGAATCCTGCGGTGTTGAAGGTGTATCGGGAATATTGTCATAGGATTAGAAAAACTGTCCACCGGAGTCGAAAAAGGAATAGTTTCTACATAATCAAGCTCCTCCTCATTTGAGGCAGTGCTAGGGAAGAAGGGGCATTTTAAAAAAGGAGACGTCGACACTAACATGGGTTTTATTGGTGGTAGGATCAAAACACTGATAACCTTTTTGAGTGGTGGAATAACCAAGGAAGACACATTTAATTGAGTGAGGATCAAGTTTACTACATGTTGAGGTTCTGTTGCGAATAAAGGCCGTGCACCCAAATATTTTTGGATCTAACGAGGTGACAAACCGG